CCCAAAAAAAAAAAAAAAAAAAAAGGTACAAACTCCTCACCTAGGCATTCAAGGCTTTTATAACAGGGTCTCAATCTCCATTTCCAGCCTTGTCCACCACTACTCTCTTTGTACCCTCTGTTCTAGCCAAACTAAACTACTATTTCCAGAGCATGCCCTACATTTTATTCCTTTTTTCTTTTGCTTATGCTATTTCTTGTGCCTGGAACACCTATGTCTCCCCTGCCCCTTCCAAAAGCTTGAACTTTGAACAACTACAAACCACAGGAACAGAAAAATAAAATATTTTATCTTTCACATAAGGAATGGGAGAGAGTAGCCTGCTCAACTAAAAATGTGCTAGAGTTCTGAGTACTGTTGTAACTATGTTATATTCAAGAGATCTGCAAAGTGCTCCTCATGTGTACCAAAAAGAATCTAGGGACCAGTAAGTGTGGTAAGCGATAGTCATCCTCTCTTGACATAGTCAGTCTTTGCGTTTTGAAGCCTGTCATCTCCATGGACTGTGCCTCAGTGCCAAAGAAGAGAAGCTGTGAGATACAATGCTGGATTTTGATGAATCCCATGCTCAAAATACTTTCTTTTTTTTCCTGAAGGAGCCTACTGTTAAATATAAAATGTTATCAACAAAAAGGGAAAAAATCATGGAATACTAAGGCAAAACTATGACTGAGGGCTAGAGACCTGGGTTCCATTCTTAGCTTTACCACATACTAATCATATAACTGTGGAAAACACTTTACCCCCATCTCAAGCTTGGTTCTGTCGTCAGTAAAATGCTGGCATCTACTACTCTGTGGGGCTGTTATGATTATTAAATGGTATATATAAAATTGCCTGGCGTAGTGTCTGGCAAGTAGTAATCATTCAATAAATTATAGTTTTTTTAGTCCAGCCATCTGTAAAACAGATAATAATACCTGTTCTTCATGTGCCATAAGATTAATATGAGAGCAAAATGAGATATTGATGAGAAGTCCTTTGAAAAGTTAAAAATATTATAGAAAACATAAGATTGCTTTAATGTCAATAAATTTCTACATCCACAAAGTCATGAATGCCATCTTTTCTCAGTAACAATTGTCTGGAGAAAACGTACAGAATTATTAATTAGCGGCTAGAACATTACTTGGTCTACAGCAAGTACTCAGTGAATCTGAAATATTTGTCAACTGACTGATATCCACATGATATTGGTTCTCAAGCTTATTGTTCTTTTTTCCCCTCTTCCCTGTTTCCCTCTGGCTTCACACTCTCGCGATGACAGCAAACTCTGGAGATGAACCTCACCAACTTGGTTAAGCGCAACAGCGAACTAGAAAATCAAATGGCCAAACTAATACAGATCTGCCAGCAGGTTGAGGTATGTAACAGAAACATTTACTATTCTTTCAGAGGACCAGGATCAGGTGGTCCTCTGGGGGGACTTCAGTTTTGTTGGAGTGTAGCTCAGTTATTTGCAGTGAAGGACTGGATGGTAGTTCTAGGAAGTCTTATTACTTTAGGATATTTGTTCCAAGAAAAGTGATAGATACCTATGGTTCAAAAAAAAAAAAAAAATAAGCAGTGGTGATGGATTGGAGGAACAACAGTCCAAGGGGCAAATCCCTTCTCCTTTCCAAACAGCAGGTAGTATGAGAATCAGATATGATGTGTACTTCTTCATCAAACCGGACATTATCACTCCTTACGGAGATTACTAGGGTGTCACAGGGAAGTTGGGAATCCTGGGTCCTTTGGGTAGGGTGAAGTTCATTCAGTGCAATATTGTTTTCTGTAATGATATTATCAGGACTGGTTCTCCTCCTCCTAGTCCCTCTTCCATTTGTCCCCTGCCATGGTCCTATCTATACCATGCACCCTACTTGCTCCTCACTCATCACCTTTCCACTTACTCTTGTCATTGACAAATAATATCTATGTTAAAACTCTCTGTGAATTATAAAGTGCTGTACAGATGTAAGGTTTTAAACAATTGTTACCTACATCAAATCTTAGAGCAGAGCTTGGGAGCTGACCTCTTCTTGGGTGGACATAATAAAATAAAGATGTTATTTCTCTCTCTTTCACAAGAGCATGAAACTTCAGCTGTAGCATTTGGTTTTGTGTTGATTTTGTCGATGAGTTGATGGTAGAGCTTAAAGTGTAAACAGGGTCAGGTAAGATATTATGGGATTCCTAATGGGCAGTGGTTGGATAAAAATGTTTCTAATTCTATTTAGAGCCTGATAGTCTAGTTTTAATCTCACAGATAAATGCAATTATTCACTTTATTTTATTTTAAACAATAAAATGATTTTATTAAGATCTCATATCTTAACATCCCACCTGAGGTTTCCTATTTAGGAGACTGTAGAATCTTCTCTTATTACAAGAGTAAACCCCCCACCCCCCACCACAATCATTTGAATTCCTTAATGTATTGGGTTTTACAGTGTTCTTGTATGATGAGCATACCATAGAAATTTAAACCCTGCTGGGCACTCCATTTGTGGAAGAGTGGTGCTGTATGTAGGGTACATAGGATACTGGTTGAACTCAGGTGTGAGATTGTAGAATGGGGTGGGGGATTTGGGAAGAAGCATAAGGAATGAAAAGAAAGAACGCTGGAATGTGAGTTGGAAAACTGGGTTCTAGATTTGGCTCTTCCATTAACTAGTAGTATGAACATAAGGAAATCCTTTAGCCTTTCAGCTTCAGTGCACTTACCTATAAAATGATGAGCTGAACTAACTATATAACCTTTGTCGTTTTTTTTTTTCAAATTTCATAGGTCACGATTCTGTGAATGCTTACTTTCTTTATTCTGTTCTTTTTCTCTACTGTCTCATCCTTTACAAAAGTGCAGAAACAAAATAGAAAGTATTTTAGAGTGGTTTTCAGTTGATCAGAATCCCTCTATATTCCACTCTATCAAAGCTTCCGATTTATGCTGTTAGACTACAGTGTAAGAAATCCACGAGGTGAAAGGACAAGGGGGTATTGTAAGCAGGAGATAAGATAAGGGATCCCTCGGTTTAGAATTTGCATGATTGAAGGTGGAGTAAAAGCTAATAGTAACTAAAACATGGTTAGAAATTATAATAATCACCTTCCTCATTCTCATCAAAAAGACTATTAAGTACAGAGCAAGTTGTAGTCAAAATAGCAAAGTAAGCAGTTTCTTTTCATTGCTAATTCGCTTTAGGACTTCTGAAACGTTCCATCTCCCCACCCCTGGGAAGCTTATCACCCTGACCAGCCTCACCCAAACATAGCCCTGTTCCAACATTTCCCAGCCCATCCCGCCAATCAAACCTTTATATTCAGGGCCCTACTCTTTTCAAGTGGCTAGGAGCTAGTCTCATAAAACAATCCACTATTGTATTAATAGGGGAGGACTCACTCTGGCCTTTTAGCAGTGCCTTTCTGAAGTAAGTATCCCTGCCTGAGCCTTAAGGAGGTGACACAAATGCTACCACATGTAAGTAAAGTAGGAGAGAAAAATAGTCCCATGACAAACCAGCAAAGTTGGGGTTCAAGAAGCCCCCTTAGGTAAGATGCTTGTTAAATCCCATTATGTAGGCCACTGTCTACTCTGGATACACAAAAGTTCAACTTTTACTAATACCTCTTTATGCATGACATTGTACCAGGTACAAAAGAAAGTAGCACAGACACGGAATCCACCCTCTGAGGGCATACGCACTACAAAAATTCACCCTGATGTGGATACGCATGTGCAGGAAGTACAGACAATGGAACTGGTGAAGACTACTGAGATACTGTTGAGAGCGAAAGTGTATTTTGAGAGTTAACTCCATAGTCTATTCAGTTTAAGATTCTGTCTTTGACAGTGGCCCTAGAGAATGGTTTATGGAAGACTGTGATTGTCTTCTATGACATCATCCCTTCTGAAAGGTTAGGGATGTGCCCTTAAGTTCCCCTTAATAATAGGGTGAATCCAGGCTGCTTATTATACTCATTCAACACAGAGTTTGTGTGTCCAAAATGCTTCAGGACAAGCCCCAGGATTAGAAATGCAGTTAAAGAAGGGACTTGAGACTTCATAAATGCTTATAAATACTTTATAAAATGAAATAAATAGTAGGATACTGTTAGTCGTGAGAGACAGACACTGAAGAGTGATTTGGAATTTTTTTCATTTTGTCAAATCCAGGTTTGTCTAGAGGGAATGACTGTATTCGCAGTGTAAACCAGGCATTTCACATCGGGTGGGGGTGGTGGATACCAGCTAAGGCACTTCTGAGAAAACTGGAATAGGCTATTTTCCTGCCAAACCTGTTTCCCTTCCTTATTGTCTGCAAATGTTTTTGTCACAGATTGACTTTTCATAAGGGGCCATAAATACTGCCTCCCTCTCCTGGTCTTTTCTCCCTGTTCTCTATTCTCCTCAGAAAGTAAACAAAGCTGCAGTCTTCCTATTATTACAGAAACAGAGATTAAGATCACCACAGATTCATTAGCTGAATTCTATGGTAATGTAGCTTGTTGTAGTTGTTGCTCAGGTTTCAGAATTCAGTTAATAGGCACTTAGAAAATATTTTCTGTCAAGACTGGAGAGGACAGGAAGAAGGTAGAGGTAGCCCCAAGGCTCCCTTTATTCAGGATAAGGAAGGGCATGCTTTGACCTTGCGACTGGCCACTTGATCTCTATATATAGTTCTTTGTCCGGGCTCATCAGGCATCCTTTGTTTACATTTCCAAAGGAAGTCTCTGTATAAGGCATAGCCAAGGGAAAATGTATACCAACAGATGGATACTTCCTCTTGTCTTCCAAGACTCCATGGCTTTGTGAATAATCAGCATTCCTGAAAAATAGTGAGGGGAAAAAATAGTTAAATACTTAACAATCAGTCAGTTAGCAATATTTCTTGAGCACACACTGTGTACTTAGTATGGTGGGCAATTTGGGGGCTGCAAAAGAAATACATGTGGTTGATGACCTACCTCTATGAACTTTTAGTCTAGCTAGGAGAAGCACAATATCTAGTGAGAGCAAAGAGTCTATAAAACAGCATGCAGTACAGAGAGTACAAATGAAGGTAGGGTGGCCCTTCCAGTTTTACTTATTTACTCTTGTTCTTAGCTTTTAGGGCACTGAGCCCTAAAAAGCACTGTCCTGGATATTTTGTGTGCCACCTTCTTTTTCTCCTCATCAGAACTGCTGCAATACAATGGATTAATCCATCCCAGAAATTCTGTGGGCAGGTTAACTTCTTTCTGGCTCTTCTCGAGCCTTTTAAGGAGCTGGGTGGTACTGCTCTATAGCACTGGAGAATGAAGAAAGAAAGGAGATGAGTTGGAAAAGAGGGAGAGAGGCTTCCTTTAATTTGGGAAATTTCATCTTTCTGTCTTACCATTAGGTCTTAGCTTCAATCACATTTGAAAGTCTTTCTCTTTAGAGTGCAAACTTTAGGTGGCTGCTGGAAGCCCCCCATCTCCCCTGTAGGAATGAGGGGGGTGCCACAGACCTCAATCCTGCCCCTCCTCCTTCCTCCTTCTCCCATCCCATTTCCTTCCCCTTTCCCCTCTCTGCCTCCTTCCCAACTGCTCTGCAAGAACATCCTAGAATGTAAAAAATAATATTAATAAAATTACATTTTCTTTAAAAAATAATAAAATAAATAAATTTTTTCCTCCCATATTATGATAAATTGTTAAACCATAAAAAACAAACAAACAAAAAAAACTTTAGGTGGCTTGGTGTTCTCTTTCTGCTTTTATTGCTCACTGGAAGGGTATTTGGTTTGGGAAGGGCAAGAATCTTGGAGTCTATGTAATAGATGTCTGATTGCTTCTCCAAGCACAAAAAATAGGTCCCTTAAAATAAATTATTTCTTTAAAAAACTGCTATGGATGATTTCAGCAGATGATCCTTAAATATTTTAGGTTGAACTAGAAGAAGGTATGGAATCTAAACCATTAAAGCACAACTATGTTGGTTGGAGGAGTACTCTACAAGCACTGAGGACATAGTAAAATGAAGGAGTGATTAGAGTGAAGTGAGTACATTCGGGGAACACTTAATGGAGAAAATACATTTTAGCCAATGCTGAAGGAGGAAAATAAATTACTCCCTCTTCAGAGAGCAGAGGCATTAGTGGAGGTGGAAATGAACAAATCGTATGGGCAAAATAGTACCCTAAGCACTGGGTGTATAGAGATGAATAGGAAATGGTTCCCGCCCTCAAGGAATGCACAGATTGATTGAGAGCCTGACAGGTAAAATGGCAAATAGAATGTGAATGTGGTAACTATTGTAACAAAAGTAAATGCAGGATGACAAGCTCCTACAGGGTAAGAAACACACACGTCTGCCTGAGGGACTTAGGAAAGGCTGCAGAATGGAAATAAAAATCA